GGGGGCTGGGCTCTCAGGACAGATGTGGGATGGGAGCAGCCAGGGTGCTGAGTGCCCTCCCCTCCAGCCCGCAGCTTGAATGACAAGGTGTTTTCTCTGGAGATAAAGCTGGAGACACAGCAGCAGCAACTCCAAGCAGGTCAGCCTCTTCTTCCTGCCCCTGGGCCTGAGGTGGTGGGAGGGCATGGGGAGCTCTCAGCTGGGCCCCCTGCATTGTCCCCACTGTCCTCTGTGTGTCCCAGGTTATTCTGTAATGCTCCAGAGAGTCCAGAAGTTCGTTCACACCCTGCACTGTCAGGTGGCTGCGCTCCAGAGCAATGGTGAGTGGTGTGTAGGGCAGCGCCTGACCCCATATCCGGCCTCTGTATCCCTGGGCAGCATCTCAGAACCTCCCCACTCCCACCTCAGACTCTCAAGATGCCTGCTGCCCCATTGGCTGGCTGGAGCATGGCGGCAGCTGCTACTGGTTTTCTCCCTTTCGATTGTCCTGGTCCGAGGCTCAGTGGTCCTGCCAGCTGCAGAACGCCCACCTGGTGGTCGTGGGCTCCCAGAATGAGCAGGTGAGAACTGGGAGAGCTTGTTTGGGAGAATGATTGGTTTATTTGAAGTCATCGCCCTCATCTCCCCACAGAAGTTTCTTGAGCAACACATGTACCCTGTCGACACCTGGATTGGCCTTACTGACCAACATGGTCCCTGGACATGGGTGGATGGGACAGACTATAAGACTGGCTTCCAGTGAGTGTGTGTGTGCGCTCTGTACCCTGTTCCTTTGGCCTGGGCCCTGCTATCCCTGCTCGGGGTTTTGAGGTCAAAAGGGACTCCTTGGCTGAGGGTCTAGCTTCCATGGCCCACATCCATCTGCTTTCCTCAGGAACTGGAGTCCAGGGCAACCAGATAATTGGCACTACCATGGGCAAGAGGACTGCACCCACCTCAGAACTGATGGCCAGTGGAATGATAACATCTGCATGACACCCTTCTGCTGGGTCTGTGAGACAGAGCTGAACAGAACCAGCTCCTAGTCTCCTCTTTCCTAATTTATTTCCTGAATGCGTTCACCTGCTGAGGGAACCTGGCTTGGGGATTCTTTTTTCAGGGTTGAGGGTGGGGGGGCTCCTGCATCACACAAGGGGTTTTCATCTAGGATTTAAGGAAAGGAGAGAGGATGATGTGTGAGGAATGCAGAATGATGTCTGAATGGGTGGGTAGATTAAAAATCACGCCACTCTTTGCAATTTGCATGTTGTTATTGTCACCTTTTTTTTTTTTTAGAATAAAAAGAAGAGAAAGATACTAAACATTTTGTGTCATCTGGTTATTGGGGGTTAGGAATGTGCTGTGGCTTGTTGGTACTAGGAGGCCTTGGGCAGGCAGCAGGGCATTGGGAAAACTGTGAGTTTGGGGTCAGATGGGGCAATGTGTGATGTACAGGGCAGGGAGCTCGGCTCTCGGAGTCTCGGCTGTGAAGCAGAATTGCCGCTGGGACCAGCCTCTCCCCAGAGCCGCTCAGAACAGAGCCACCCCTGTGTGTCAGTGCTTTCAGAGCTTCGGGTGCAACTTCTTGGTGTCGGTTGCTCACATTACAGTGAAGAGAAGCAGCATCCACAGGCAACAACAACAGTGAATCAAAGCTGAGGCCGCTGCTGGCTCATGCTGGGGGTTTTGCTAAAATCTCCCTGAACTGCAGAGCTGACCTCGGCATGCTCCATATTCTTGCTAAGCAGCCTTAGTCCCAGCATTAGCAGCAGCTGGCCATATCTTGAATAAACGAACTCTTTGCTCTAGAGTAGGGGTGTCGAACTCAATCAGAGAAGGGGCCAAAATCTAAAATCCAGCCTAAATCGTGGGCCGAATGGTTTACTGAACAGTCATAAACTGTCATTGTGATGGAAACGCAGCGGAGTGCAGTGATGACAGCACGGTGCAGGCCACATTGCAAGGCCTGGCGGGACGGATTTGGCCCGCGGGCCTTGTGTTTGACACATGTGCTCTAGAGGCAGACGCTATTTCTATTTTCCAAGGCTGTTAGCTATACAAATATCCTTGAAAAGACAGTTGAGAATGCAGGTGGTCAGTGACTCTGCTCATAAGATGTTCACAAATGTGAGCATTTTCTTCCCAAACCCTGAAGATGCAGTTCTCCTACAAGAGACACACACACACACACATGCATCAAAACAATGTTTGGTGATCAATGTTTCCATATTCTGTCTCACTTAGAAATTATCCAGGTGTCCAAAGGTTGCCTACTAATTGATTTTAAAACTATTTATTAAAAATGTTTTTTTAATGTTTTTATTTATTTCAGAGAGGAAGGGAGAGGGAGATATAGAAACATCAATGATGAGAGAGAATCACTGATTGGCTGCCTCCCACATGCCCCCTAGCAGGGACCAGGCCCAATACTCAGGCTGGTGTCCTGAGTGGGAACTCACCACAGAGACACATCAGCTGGGCTTGCTTTGATTCAGGTCTTAAAGTTAGCAAAGGATCTTGAAAACTATATTTCAGCTGACACACCATAGAATTAAATTGTTATCAACGGAATTTTTTAAAGATTGTAATTAAGTTTAATACTTTTTTCAAATATTAAATGCTTATATTACACTCCATACTGATCAAATTAGGAAAAAGATATATAGCATTTTATAAGCCAAAAGAATTATTAAACCAATTTGATCATGGAGAGCTAGATTTTTATGGAGAAATGCTTTTAAGCAAACAATTTCTGAGAGAATGATGTTTCTAGGAGTTTGAACATTTAGCATATCAAAAGTTGTTTCTTTTAGCAGATTTCTAGGACAATTAGATTTGTGCAAGTGTGTTAGTAATCCAGAACATCCTTTATTCTCACACCATGAGAATTAAGGACTCCTCTTAATTTTAGTCACAAAAGGAGTCTGCAGCTGCCGGGCTGGGATGGCTCAGGGGTGGAGTGATGACCTGTGAACCAGGAGGTCACAGTCCCATTCCCAGTGAGGTCACATGCACAGGTTGCAGGCTCAATCCCCAGAGTGGGGCGTGCAGGGAGCAGCCTATCAATGGTTATCTCTCATCACTGATGTTTCTATCTCCCTCTCCGTCTCCCTTCCTCTCTGAAATCAATTAAAAAAAAAATATATGAGTCTGCAGCTTCCATTCTACAACTTCAGCCTTGGGTCCAAAGTAAACACAGAAATACAAGGACTCATTAGTCCCCGGAAGTGAGGCAGGAACTGGGAAGAAAGTGAGGCAGGGACTGGGAGGAGGGCACAATGGCAATTCAAGGTGGCACAGTGATACATAAACCAGGGTGCGGCACCTCTTGTGACTTTAAGGCTCGCTTACTACCTCGCAAGAGTACTCCTTTAAGAAGTCTGTTCTTAATTTTTGGAAACCTCCCTAACTGGCCCTCAAATTATGGAAATGGACCCTCTATAATGCAAGGGTCCTCTTCCACACCAAGCTGCCATCTGAGCTGCCAGTGGCACAAGATGGTGATGAAGATGCAAGAAGCATTTTCTAATAGAAGTGGACACAGCGGATTCTGTTTCTCATCAGGCATCTATGTGAAACCCCAACGTAAGTGAAGTACTTTACAGTGTGCAGTGTAAAAGTAGATGATCACGTGAAGAAGAATCTTACTCAACTTGTGCGAGAGCAATACTGTAAGGCCACAGACGGGCTGACTGTTGAAACAGATTACCCCCCCCTTTTTTTTTTTTAAATAAGTCTTTATTGTTCAGATTATTATAGGTGTTCCTCTTCCCCCTTGCCCCACAATAGCTCCCCTCCACCTAATTCCCAACCCCACCCCATGCCCTTACCACCACCACTGTCTTCATCCATAGTATAAGATTTTTGTCCAATCTCTTCCCGTCCCCCTCAAACTCCCTTCCCTCTGAGAATTGTTAGTCCATTCTCTTTCTATGTCCCTAATTCTATTGTATTCACCAGTCCATTTTGTTCTTCAGATTTTTTTCACTTGATTTTTAGATTCACTTGTTGGTAGGTATGTATTTGATGTCTTTTTGTTGTTCATAATTTTTACCTTTACCTTTTTCTTCTTCTTCCTCTTCTTAAAGAATACCCTTCAACATTTCATGTAATCCTGGTTTGGTGGTGATGAACTCCTTTAACTTTTTCTTGTCTGTGAAGCTCTTTATCTGACCTTCAATTTTGAATTATAGCTTTTCTGAATAGAGTAATCTTGGTTGTAGGTTTTTGTTCATAATTTTGAATATTTCTTGCCATTCCCTTCTGGCCTGCATAGTTTCTATTGAGAAATCAGCTGACAATTGTATGGGTACTCATTTGTAGGTAACTAGCTGTTTTTCTCTTGCTGCTTGTAAGATTCTCTCTTTGTCTTTTGCCCTTGGGATTTTAATTATGATGTGTCTTGGTGTGGTCCTCTTTGGATTCCTCTTGTTTGGGGTTCTGTGCACTTCCTGAACTTGTAAGTCTATAATATTTCTTTCACCAGGTAGGGAAAGTTTTCTGTCATTATTTCTTCCAATAGGTCTTCAATATCCTCCTCTCTCTCTTCTTTTGGGACCCCCAAAATCCCGATGTTGGTACACTTTAAGCAGTCCTTATGCTATCCTCACACTTTTGGATTCTTTTTTCTTTTTGCCTCTCTGGTCGTGTGATTTTTGCTTGCTTATATTCTAGATCTTTGGTTTGACTCTTGGGGAACATTGATCTATAGTTGAATTTCTGTATATTCTTTATTTCAGACTGTGTATGCTTAATTTGTGATGGTCCTTTTCCATATTTTTGGTATTCCCATTAAGGTCCTTGAAGGTCTCACAAAGCTTCTTGGAGGTCTCATCAAGTTTCTCAAAGGCTTTTAGAAGATTCTTGAGTAACCTTATAAATGTGATTCTGAATTCTGTGTCATCTAGTGGTTTACTTTCCTCAGTCTCTCCTATTCGTGACATGCTTCTGTGTCTCCTCATTTTGGCTGCCTCCCTGTGTTGATGGAGTGGCTATGTGTGGTCGGTGACCTATAGGGGTCAGTAGCTCAGCTTTCCCAATCACCTGAGGTGTTTGCATTTGCTATATCCCTTTGTGGGCTGAGTGCAAAGTCATGGTGTAATTAAGCCTTGATTGCTGTTGGTATACTGGGAGGAATTGACTCCAGGCCAATTGTCTGTGAGGACCCACTGTGTCTATAAAGGAAGAACTGCTATGCTGGAGACAGGCCTTGTTTCAGTGGGGCTTTAGTGCTCACTGAAGCCGCCTCCCAAATGTGTCACTCATGGGGGTGAGGAGTTAACACTGAGCACTAGGAACACTGGCTTCTGGATCTCCAATGGAGTGTGGTTCAGCTACTGCACCCTGCAGGAGCTACAGTGTGAACCACAGTCCTCTCCTCCTTTGCTAGGTAAAACTGCAACTGAGAGGGCCATTCCTATTCAAAAGCCGATGCTTGGAGCTTGGATGTGTTGTGAGGGGTGGAGTCTCAAGGTGGAGTCTCAGGGTGTCAGTAGGCTGGGGCGTGGCCAACAGCGATGGCTGCCAGTCAGCCGCCTCTCCGATCTTCATCCCAGAGTCTCTGCATCTCCCCACGTCTCATACCATAGCACAGCAAATAAATATTCTTGCGCGAAGCTCTGCAAGCCAGCCACCCTCACTTTCCAACCCAATGGGAGACAGTCTAGCCTCTCCCCAGAAACTGGATTTCAGAGAGATCAGGAGCTTGTCTCTCTTTGAGTTGAAGAAAGCAACGTCCTCTGCCAGTCTTAGCCAGGATCCGCTGCCAGTCTTAGCCAGGATCCGCTGCCAGCCCGTATCGCCCCCCCCCCCCACCCCAGTTTTTCAGTGCTTGTGCCCTGAATTCTCCTCTTTCTCTTTCAGTCTAGTTGTAGGGCTTCCTTTCAGCCAGATTTCCCTTGGGTTTAGGATGATAGACATTTTATTGTATAGTTGTATATTTGAAATTGTTGTGCATGGCAGCAGATTAGGCATGTTTACCTATGCCGCTATCTTCGTTCTGAAGCAGGTACCCTAGAGACAGAATTATGATTGTGCAATGTATCTGCTAATAGTTTTATCCCAAGAATCTTGGAAAACTTAAAAATGGGAGAAAAATAAGACTGAAGTAGACATGGAAGAGTGTATGTGGAAAAATAACTCCTCAGGAAAAAAATATCTTGGAAACACTTCTCCACATGAAAGCCATGGAGGAAAACCTGGGAGTAAGTAAGGAAGTTGAAGATTACAATAAATCTGTTGTTAGTCTTAAGAACGAGGGAGACTCCCTAACTGGTGTGGCTCAGTGGATAGAGCATTGGCCTGTGAACTGAAAGGTCCCAGG